TGTATGGATCGGGATAACAGTTGTATGAGCCCCTAATAAAATGTTAAAAAAAAAAAAAAGAAGAAAGTGGAAAGCTCATAAAACAAACAGTATGGCAGTGGTTGGGAAAGAGAAAAAAATTTAATTTCCTTTATAGATTTCTAATAGAGAAGAAAACATGAACATCCACTAAAAAGAATAAGCTTATCACATCTATAAGTAAACGGGCATTTTTCTGATAAAAAAATTGTATTTCCATCTTGATTGTGAACAAAACAGGTGACCTTCCTAACAAAAATGCTATCTTACATGCACTCTACCATAGTGAAGGCAAGCAGGAAATGGAGGAAATAGAACTTCTGTCCTGTTGTGAGGAACATATGTCAATGCGAGTTTAAACAACTGTATACCCCAGATGAGCATGATGCACCCTATACCCAATCATCGAAAATTAGGCAGGCAACTGGAGGTCCAGTGGGAAGAGTGTGTATCCATGGTGCAATTTTTGGATAAACACTCTATGTTGTGTTTTTAAAACAAAGCCAGTAAAGTCCATAAAGGGTACTAGAGTCAGTATGCACAGTAAGGAGAGCACAGGACAGGGTATGTAGATGCTTGTGAACTGCCTACAGTGGAATTCTCCCAACTGGAAGTGTGACAGCTGACAACAGTCATCCCAGACTCTTCCTAGAGGGAGGTGAGTCTACGGTATGTATATATGTGTGTGTGTACTGGAGAGTACAGAGAGGAAAGCAAAGGTCCAAGTGCTCGTTACACTGCCATCTCAATACCCGTCCAAGTTCATCTTTCTCAGGTGGGCTTCGTGCTGCTGTTGGTTGATGTTGAGTCAACTCCCACTCATGGTGTGTCATGCACAACTGTGCCTGACGGGGTTTTCAAGAACATGCCATTTCATAAGCAGACTGCCAGGCTTGTCTTCCAAAGCACCTCTGGGTGGGGTGAAGTCAGTATCCTTTGGTCTTAAGAAACAAGTTTGTGATCCAGCCCCTTGCTAGCGGGAAAAAGGGCACATTACTTGAACACACATTTGGAATAATAAATAAAACCATGTGGGAGGAGGGAGTAAAAGTGCACCTAAGGGATTTGGAAAACAGTAGTTGGGCAATGTAAGAAGCTTTTCACAAGGGTATGTTGTGTTATGATAATCAACTAAAATGGGCAAACTCGCTGTCATCAAGTCGATTCTGACTTATAGGAACCCTATGGGGCAGGGCAGAACTGCCCCTGTGGGTTTCTGAGACTGTAACTGTTTACAGAAGTAGAAAGCCTTGCCTTTCTACCAAGGAGTGGCTGGTGGTTTTAAACTTCTCACCTGATGGTTAGCAACCCAGTGTATAAATACTAATGCTCATGGAGCAGCAGTCAAGAGATGAATGACCAATTGCAATAGTCAAATATGCTGCACAACTTCTTTAAAGTGTTGAAAAACAAGGAGGTTACTTTGAGGACTAAGGTGTACCCTGACTCAAGCCATGGTATTTTCAATTGCCTCATATACATGTGAAAATTGGACACTGAATAAAGAAAGAAGAATTGATGCATTTGAATTATGGTACTGGTGAAGAACACAAAGTACCTGACTACCAGAAGAACAACCAAATCAAACCAGAAGTAAACTCAGAATGATTCTTAGAGGCAACAGTTTTGTCAAGAAAGGCTCAAGTTCTTGGAACAGGACATCTTATTTGATGGAGGGGCAGTGAGAAAGAGGAAGGCCTTGACAAGATGGGCTGACACAATGGTGCAACAATGGGCTCCAACATAGGAACAACTGTGAGGACGGCACAGGACCAGGCAGTATTTTGGTTGTTGTACACAGGGTCACTATTAATCGTAACCGACTTGATGGTAACTAACAACAACAAGGGTGAAAAAGGCCTAGTCAACAATCTGAAATAAAATTAAAAACAGACACTTTTCCTATTGGGGGTGGGGTCAACCCAAACTACAATCTTGCTTGCAGTTCTTCTAACCTTTATTTTTTCCATATCTCAAAATATTAACTTGGCAGCATTGTTAACTTGTGTTTGGTGCCCCACCCCACTCCATCCCAGCTTAAAAAGTGTTACTAACAAGTAGAAAATTGCTTAATAGCAAAGAGATTGATGCCCAGTTTGACATAATGATTCAGTGTGGCACAATGATTTAAGTCTGCATGCCCCCTTTGTGACAAAGACATTTGTTAACCACAAACTAGCTCAAAGTTTATCTAACGCGAAGAGTATAATTAGGTATTTCCCTTGTTTCCTAAGAAATTGGAATTTCCTGAATTGAGGTAACTTTTATTACTTTAAACCTTATACCTAAGGAACTCAAGTGGCGTCAGTTCAAAACCAACAGCCACTTGATGGGAGACAGATGGGGCTTTCTACTCAGACAAAGATTTACAGCCTTGGAAACCTATAGGCACAGTTCTACTCTGCCCTGTAGGATCTCTATGAATCAGAATTGATTCAATAGCAGTGAGTCTGATTATTTGGAGTGAGACTATAACTAAAGCTTTTGGCAAATGAAGCCCCCTCCTCCCTCCACCTGCAGAGACCACCTAATAACATGACACCATCTGATCTCAGTAAGAGGTGAGGGCATGGTTCAATTAATTCAATCACATTAAAATTAACCAATGTTTCCTTTTTCTATTCTCAATCTTTTCTTTAAAAGACTCATTGTAATTTGGCTATATTGAGACATTTGATTTTTTAGAAACAAAATTATCTCCTTATACATTAATATTATTTTACTTAATTCATACGCATGTAAATTAACTGCTGGATTGAATCCTACATTTTGCTTTTAACATTTTGAAGCATAAAGATGGGGTCCATGTTCATAATGGCATGAAGCAGTGAACTAACAGAGCCAGCCCCAATCCCTGCTACGTTGACCCCCCTCCCCAGAAGATTGCACTACAGAGGACAGCACTGAAGAATACAGTCCAGGGAGAGTGGCAGGTCTTCCCAGACCACAGGGGGGAGTGGGGGGGGTGGCAAACTAAGAGGGAGAGAGATAAATGCATCCTGGTCCACCAAGCCCTGAGAACAACACTCCTGCTCAGAGTAGCCAAGGCAGAGAGGACCAGGAGACATGGCATCCCCTCACTGACCAAGAGCGCTGCAGAGGACAGCACTGAAGACACATTGCGGGAATTGTGCCCAGTCTGACTCCCCAACACCAGGGCAAAACACAAAGGGAGCACAACAGAGCAGGCAGCAAGGGGAGCAACACAATGATGTCCGAGAAATCCTGAAAATAGAATTCAGACTTGGAGGGCAGGGCTTGCTTGGTACCTCATCAGACTCGATCAGAAAACATACTTAAGGACCAGCAGACACCTGGAACTATTTATAGGCGCCCCCACCTTTCTTCTTCTTCTTCGTTTTACAAGTCTATCTATAAAAGATAGGCAAGATAAACAATCCCAAGGGGGTAGAGGGAGTGAGGGAAACGGAGGGGGGAGTCAACAAACCCAGGACAAGGGAATAAGAGATCTAAAATCAATGGCAAGGAAGGTGTAGAATGTCTGGTGGCGGTTGATCAAGTGCAATGTGGCCAAGAGCCGAATGAAGATCAAACATGATAATAGGGCAGGAAGAGAGTAAAAGGAAATAGCGGAAAGGATGACGGCAAAAGATAGTTATAGAGGCATAAATACAGGCATGTATATATTAATATATAACAATAGTGATGTGGTCTATGTAATTAATTTATGTTAAGTATCAAGGTAGCAGACGGACATTGGACCTCTGCTCAAATACACTTTGTTCTGTATGGATTGTGATAAAGAGCTGTACGAACCCCCAAGAAAATGATTTAATTTAAAAAAATCAAATACACTTTGTTTTAATAACCTGGCATTCTGTGATACTCCCCTTCCCGACAAGATCGCTGAAGTCAAAATGGGTGCATAAACAACTGTGGTAAAGAACGCTGATGGTGCCCAGCTATTAAAAGACATAGCATCTGGAGTCTTAAAGGCTTGAAGTTAAACAAAAGGCCACCAGCAGGAAAGCAACAAAGCCCACATGGAAGAAGCACAACAGCCTGTGTGATCACAAGGTGTCGACAGGATCAGGTATCAGAAGACTCAAAATAATCCTATCAATGAGAACGAGGGGGGTCAGAGTGGAGACCCAATGCCCATCTGTAGACAAATGGACATCCCTCACAGGAAGGAAGGAGCCAGGCAGGGTGCCTATAGCACCAATCAAACACAATATTCCTCTAGTTCTTTAATGCTTTCTCCTCCCCACTCTCATAACCCCAGTTCTACCTTACAAATCTGGCTAGACAGGAGTATGTACACTGGTACAGATAAAAGCTCTGGAGACATGGAATCCAGGACAGATAAAGCCCTGTGGTAGAGATATAACTGTTTATCAATTTGAGGATTAAGAGTGTAGAGGTGGAGTCTAGCTTGTCAATCAGATCATAGCCAATGAGGCCTCTGTGTGGGCATGGCCTTCTCCTGGGAATTCTGGGAAATCCTGAATTTCCTCCTTCAAGGTGGGAGACTCTGCTCACTTCCCTGGTAGACAGCAGCTGACAAGACACATTGACCCACTGCAGCCCCGGGTGCTGGAAAAGCCATGCAGAGACCCCTGCCAGTGCTGAGATGTTTCCAGTGCCACTGGATCCAAAGACTTTCTACACACTGGCCTGTGATCTTCTACATTCAGGGTCATTGCATGAGTTTTGTGAGTCTGTGAGTCTGAAGAGGACTTTATAGATTGGTATCGGACATATGGGCTAATATTGGACCTATGGACTTGATCTGGACTGGGCTGGGATGTTTTCTCAATGTTCAATTGCTCTTGTATATAAAGCTCTTTCTTATTCACATGTGTGTCCATGGATTTGTTTCTCTAGTCTACCCAGACTAACACAACCCCTCAGGAACAATGGGATCACGATGCCATGAGGGTAGGGGGAAAGTGGGGAGCGAAGGCTAAGAACTTTTAGTTAGAGTATTATCTGTATTATATCATCCATCTTTACTATAAATCCCAGGCCTCAAAAGCTACATAGCTATTGAAATAGCCTCTAATCAAATGGCTCCTAAATGTGGCTGATATTAGAATTGTCCAAGGAACTTGTGAAAATATGAATTCCTAGGCACCCCAATTCAATATACCCAAGGATTCTGATCCCGCCAATCTTGAAGGAAGCCCAGGAATCTGTAGTTCCACCTGCTTGCCAGGTGATGGCAATGTTAGCGGTTCTTAGCTCTAGTCACTTATCCAATACTAATGTTAGCCAAAGATGCACAGATGTTTAGAAAATAAAATAACATTTAAGATACGTATATGACTAATTATTACACACTTCTAACTAAAAGTTCTTAAATAAGATACACCTCCTCTTTACCTCTCAAGGATACAGGTTGCAAATCAACTAAGTTTAAATAATTTCTGGAGCCCAGGACATGATTATGAAACCTACCATGGAAGTGGAACAGCCTGAGAATGGGAAGGATGTTGACTGAGTGTTGGCCTAGTAAATGATTCCTCCCCTAAGGCTGGATTTCAGGTTCTTTTGAGATCGACGATCTATCTTTGGCCAAAGAAATAGGAGAAACTAACCTCACCTGCTAGAACTTCCTTGTACATGGTGGGAGAAGTGATTTCATACCACTGCTTCCCAACAATAGTTGGGCAAGTGCAACACAGTTACCATTGTACTTATGAATCGGCAACTACAGTAGAACAAGCCTCATTTTATAAAGGTCAAGAAACAGGATCAAACAAAAAAATCTTATCATTGTGAATGAGGGGGAGTACGGAGTGGGGACCCAAAGCCCATCTGTAGGTAACTGGATATCCCTTTACAGAAGGGTCGCGGGTAGGAGAGGAACCAGTCAGGGTGCAGTGTGGCAACCATGAAACATACAACTTCCCTCTTGTTCCTAAATGCTTCCTCCCCACCCATTATCATGATCCCAATTCTACCTTACAAATCTGGCTGGACCAGAGGATGTACACCGGTACAGATAGGAACTGGAAACACAGGGAATCCAGGACGGATGATCCCTTTAGGACCAGTGGTGAGAGTGGCGATACTTGGAGGGTGGAGTAGAGAGGGGGAACCGATTATAAGGATCTACATATAACCTCCTCCCTGGGGGGCCAGGCAACAGAAAAGTGGGTAAAGGGAGACTTCGGACAGAGTAAGATATGACAAAATAATAATTTATAAATTACCAAGGGTTCATGAGGGTGAGGGGAACGGGGAAGGAGGGGGGCAAATAAGGAGCTGATGCCAGGGGCTTACGTGGAGAGCAAATGTTTTGAGAATGATGAGTGTAACGAATGTACAAATGTGCTTTGTACAACTGATGCATGTACGGATTGTGCTAAGAGTTGTATGAGCCCCCAATAAAATGATTTTTTAAAAAGAAACAGGATAAAATATTATGCAACTTGTCTAGATGATACAGTTATAATAGGCACTGCAAAGATTTAAATTTGGGTCAAGATGTCTTAAACATTCATAAACTTAATCATTATGCCAAACCAAGTTCCACCCCCTCCAGGAAAAAGGAGTTGGGGAGGAACTTTTATATAGGGAAAACAGCCTTTCCCTAATCTTAGAAATAGTCATTATAATAGCTACAGTAAAAAAAAAAAATAGCTACAGTAATACTCAAAGAAACATCAGATGGTCTTCAGCCCCCCTCACATTCCCACTTACCTGCTCATTTCGTAAACTAAAGGCCACTATTTAAATATAGGAGATAACTGGTAATTATTTTGCCAGCTACAACTTTTATTTTTAGGAAAAGGAACAAAAAGAAATTTGTTGCCATCAAGTCAATGCCAACTAATGGTGACTTCCAGCTATACAGAGCAGAAGAGCTTCATGGGGTTTTCCAGTTTGGCCTTTTGTAAGCAGATCACCATGCCTTTGTGTGGGTTTTGAACCACCAACCTTTTGGCTAGCAGTTGAATGTTAAATAGTTTGTAGTTGGTGCTAGCTACCTAGGGACTCTTACAAAGAGACTTACTCAAACTTTATGGCCTTTATGCCAATAGAAACCTGCCACTGGCACAACAAAGACAGATTATTCAAACAAACAAACACACACCAAAAAAACGGTTGGTAGCAGTATCCTGGAAAAGAGAAAGAAAATGTACCTCCTTAGCTACTTTCAGCCTTTCCCTGGCCTATGAAATATACCAAAATAATCTTCAAAAGAAAATAACAAATATAAACAAGCAGCTATCTAGCTGAGAACAAAGTCCACATAGAAGAAACACACCAGCCTGTGTGATCATGAGGTGTCGATGATGGGATCAGGTATCAGATCAAAGACCCAGAACAAAAAAAATCTATCAATGTGAATGAGTGGGGGTGGGGTGCACTCACAGTGGAGACCCAAAGCTCATTTGCAGGCAATAGGACATTCCCTTACACAAGAATCACAAGGAAGAGATAAGTCAGTCAGGGTCCAGTACAGCACAGATGAAACATACAACTGTCCTCTAGTACAGTGGTTCTCAACCTTTCTAATGCAGTGACCCTTTAATACAGTTCCTCATCCTGTGGTGACGCCCCCAACCATAAAATTATTTTCACCACTACTTCATAACTGTCATTTTGCTACTGTTATGAATTGGGCAACCCCTGTGAACGGGTCATTCGACAACCCACCTCCGCCAAAGGGGTCACGACCCACAGGTTGAGAACCACTGCTCTAGTTCTTTAATGCTTCCTCCCCACCACGATCATGACCTCAACTCTACCTTACAAATCTGACTAAACCAAAGCATGTACATTGGTACAGATAAGAGCTTGCAACAGAGGGAATCACCCCTCAGGACCAATAATGAAAAAAGAGATGCCAAGGGGGAGGGGGAAGGTGAGGGGAGGAAGGAGGAACCAATCACAATGATGTATATATAACCCTTTCCTAGGGGGGATGGACAACAGAAAAGTGGGTGAAGGGAGACAACGGTTGGTGTAAGACATGGGGGTATTATAAATGATCAAGGGTTCATGAGGGAGGGAGGGTGAGGGAAGGGGCAAAATGAGGAGCTGATATCAAGGGCTCAAGTAGAAAGAAAATGTTTTGAAAATGATGATGGCATCAAATGTACAAATATGGACACAATGGATATATGGATGGATGGTGATTAAGAGCTGTAAGAGTTGCCAATAAAATATTTTTTTAAATTAAAAAGAATCAAGGACTTAGGAAAAAAGGAAAATATCTTTTTTAAGGTAGAATGGGACTTTGTAAAAGAAGTCTTTGATATATACCCCCTGCTCCCTGAGAGAAGGTACTATGTATGTGAGTAAAGTGGCAGAAAAGAAAATATTCTAGGCAAAAGTAATAACAGAAAGCCAAGATGTGGGAAAAAAGTAGAAAGTGTGGATGGAACACAATATATAAAGCAATGAGATTTGTAATTAGAAAGTCAATTATAATTTTGCTTGTCTATAAGTTGAGCAACATGGTCCATGTTGTTCTGTATAGGTAGGTGGACAGCTAAATTTTCTAATGTTTTACTAAGAGTTTACGTACCACTGTTCTTTGCTTGTTTGGCAAGAAAACTCGGATAGTGTTGCTTGTCTTAGAAGAATCTGTGAGTTTGCCATCATCTGATGCCCGGCGCTGATAGCCAAACTGCTGAACTATGGTAGGGGAGATACAGCTGGAGCCATCAAACACGGCGTCTTTTAATCCAAAACCATTGCTGATTGTCTTCCAGGCCCCCTGTATGTGCTCCATTGATGCAGCTTAAACAAAAATTAAATCTGGTGGGAAGACAAAGAGTTGCAATTTTAACACAAAAGCAATCCAGAACACAATATAACAAATAAAAATATGTAAATATTTTCATTGAGCAGCATAGAAAATAATTCCTACTGAACTTCATAGATATTCACACAATGACTATAGATATTCTGCCTCCACAGAGAGGACCCACATTGTCCTGCCACTGGCTGGGGAAATCAATAACCATGTAAGAGTG